GGTAAACCAGGAGAACTGTCAAGTTTGAGGCCAGCCTCAGCAATTTAGTAAGGCCCTACACAACTTAGCAAGAATCTGTCTCAAGATATAACAAGGGTCTGGGGTTGTGGCTCAGCGGTAGAGCACTCACCTAGCACACGCGGGCCCCTGAATTTGATCCTCAGCAGCACATAAAAATAAAACAAAGGTATTGAAGAAAAGTCTCTCAATAGATATAGAAAAGAGGCATTTGACAAAATTCAGCACCCTTTCATGAGAAAACAACACTGAGTGTAGAAGGAAATTAACATAAATATGAAAAAAAAAAACTTTCCTCTAACAGCGTAAAGATGTCCACTCTCACCACTTCCTTTGAACGTAGTATAGAATTGGAAAGCCTAGCCAGAGCAAGGTTTAAGCAAGAAAAATAAAATCTATCCAAATCAGAAGGAAGATTTAAAATTGTCTGTTTGCATATGACATGATCCATATATACAGAAAATCCTAGAGACACCATACAAAAAGCTGTTGGAAGGTGGGAGTGGTGACACATGCCTATAATCCCAGCTACTTGGAGGGCTGAGGCAGAATTGCAGACTCAAGGCTGGCCTGAACAACTTAAGTTATTGAGACCCAAGTTGAAGGCCAGCCTCAGCAACTTAATGAGGCCCTAAGCAACTTAAAAAATAAAAAGGGCTGGGGATGTACCCCAATGACTAAACACTTTTTTGGGGGAAGGTACCAGGGATTGAACTCAGGGGTGCTCAACAAGAGCTATACCCTCAGCCCTATTTTTGTATTTTATTTAGATCCTCCTGTCTCAGCCTCCCGAGCAACTGGGATTACAGGCATGTGCCACTGTGCCTGGTGATAAAGCACTTCTCTATCATGTGCCAGACCCTGGGTTCAATACGCACTACTGTTAAAAAATTTTAAAAAATTGTGGAGTGTGCTCAGAGCAGGGGGCCTGAAGAATGCTTCTCTGTTTACAACACATCCAACAGGAATATGGGGTTATTGTGACAAGGGGCACAAAAATTGTGGTTTCCCTATGAACAAATGCCCTACATGTGTACCCTCCATGTGACTTTCAGACAGGACCAGTGAGACCATTTATTTATTTTTTTTTAAAGATAGAGTGAGAGAGGGAGGTAGGGAGGGAGAGAGAGAGAGAGAGAGAATTTTTAATATTTATTTTTTTAGTTTTGGCGGACACACATCTTTGTTTGTATGTGGTGCTGAGGATCGAACGAACCCAGGCCGCACGCATGCCAGGCGAGCGCGCTACCACTTGAGCCACATCCCCAGCCCCCACCGACCATTTAGAGCCTGTCCAGTCCATGCATTGGTTGGCCTTGGGTGGTCCTAGAAATAAAAACTTTGAACCTCTAAAAAAAAAAAAAAAAAAGAAAGAAAATTACAAAAGCAACTTTTTTTGGTACCAGGAATTGAACTCAGAAGAGCTTAACCACTTAGCCACATCCCCAACTCCTTTTATTTTGAAACAGGATCTTGCTAAATTGCTTCAGGTCTCACTAAATTTCCAAGACTGGCCTTAAACTTGTCCTCCTGCCTCAGCCTCCTGAGTTGCTGGGATTACAGGCATGTGCCACCATGCCCAGCTTTTACCAAAATTTTTTTTTTTTTTTTTAGAGAAAGAATTTTTCAATATTTATTTTTATTTTTTAGTTTTCGGCGAACACATCTTTGTTTGTATGTGGTGCTGAGGATCAAACCGGAGCCGCACACATGCCAGGCTAGCACACTACCACTTGAGCCACATCCCCAGCCCCTTACCAAAATTTTTTAAAAATAATAAATATAGGGCTGGGGCTCAGTGATAGAGCACTTTCCTAGCATGTGTGAGGCACTGGATTTGATCCTCAACACATGTATAAATAAATGAATAAAATAAATGTCCATCAACATCTAAATTTTTTTTTAAATCAAAAAGCAAAGGAGAATTATTGAACTATTAGGAGACAGTGTAGGCTAATATGTTTAAGGCCTTGGGATGAACAAATTTAGCTGTATTTAACCTGTTTTTTTTTTTTTTTTTTTTTTTTGATACCAGGGATTGAACTCAGGGGCACTCAACCACTGAGCCACATCCCCAGCCCTGTTTTGTTTTTTATTTAGAGACAGGGTCTCACTGGTTGCTTAGGGCCTCATTTTTGCTGAGGCTGGCTTTGAATTCACGATCCTCCTGCCTCAGCCTTCCAAGGCACTGGGATTACAGGTGTGCACCATCATGCCAGCTGTATTTAACCTCTTGTTTGCAATTATTGTGGTATATTCACACTGTGGATTCTGTGCAGCAATGAGAATAGGTTTATATTTATCAAATGACATCATTAAAGGAGTAAAAAGGTAAGTCAGAGGGAAAATATATAATTTTATATATAAAATTCATATGTAGGGCTGGGGTTGTAGCTTAGTGATAGAGTACTTGCCTTGCATGTATGAGGCCCTGGGGTTTGATCCTCAGCATCATATAAAATAAATAAATAAAAATAAAGATATTATGTTCATCTACAACTAAAATATTATTTAAAAAGAAAAACAAAAAATACAAAATTCATATGCAGAATATAGTTTCTACAAATAAAGGCAATTCAATAGAAAAATGAACAAAAGTTTTAAAAAGACACTTTGCACAGATAATGGGAAAACATGTTTGATTTCATTAGTCTTCAGAGAAATGCACATTTAAACCACTATGAGATGCCATCCTCTCACTAGAATGGCTCACATTTGCCAGACAATACCAAGTGTTGGTGAGGACGTAGGGAGCTCTCATACACTGCTGGAGAATGTGCAAATTAGTACAACATTGAGAAACTGGTAATATCCATTGAAGCTGAAAATATGCATATCGTATCCACTTCTAGGCATATCTCAACAGAAATGGCCACGTACTTTCACTAAAGGACCACAAACGTGCTGAGCAGCACTTTTCAAAATGGTTAGCCTAAATGACACCCGTTGACAGTGGAATGGAAATGACTTGTCTAGTGAGATAGGAAGAAATCAGAAACGGAGAAGTCTGCCAGAGCAGACACTGTGAGATTTGCTAGTTTGTGATGATGATGAAAGACAGACCAACCTCCAGTTCAGCTGCATTTTCCTACCAGCAGCCATCATACTAGAGTACACCACTTTACTGCCTGCATCAGGGCAGAGTGTTCTCTTCTGTCCCAGCATATATATTTTTTATCGTTTTTTTTTTTTTTTTTTTTAAGTGGACACAACACTGTTATTTAGTATTTGTTACGTGGTGCTGGGGATCGAACCCACTGCCTCACACATGCTAGGTAAGCGTCCTACCACTGAGTCCCAGCCCCAGGCGCTGTTGTGATGTGTTTATGAGATGGAATGCTGGCATGCTATATAGAAAATGAAAACAGGAAAATAAAACTGGCTAGAGATATGAATGAATGTCACAAAGATACTATGAACCAGGCTTGGTGGCTCACAGTTGTAATCCCAGTGACTCAAAAGGCTGAGGCAGGAGGATTGTCAGTTTAAGGCCAGCCTGGGCAAAATAAAATGGGTTGGGGATTGGGGATGTAACTCAGTGGTAGTGGTAGAGTGCTCTTAGATTCAATCCCCAAATCCCCAGTACCAAAAACAAAACAATTGAGTAAAAATATTTAGGTGTAAAAGAATACACACTAGCCAAGCATGTTGCCACACACCTGTAATCCCAGTGACCTGGGGCTGAGGCTGGATAATCTCAAATTCAAGGACAGCCTGGGTAATTTAGGCAGAACTTGTTAAAAGAACTGGGGATATATGTAGCTCAGTGGTAAGCACCCCTGGGTTTAATCCCCAGTACCAAAAACAGAAAAGAGACAGAGGGAAAAAAAAAAAGCACACACTACAGTCTCACTGATGATGAATTTGTTGAGTTACAGTATGTTCAAGACTCAGGTTTAAAAAAAAAAACTAAGCAAACTGATAAATTATACAATTGCATCAGAAACATGGGTCTGAAAAATCATAGGATACATAAATATTTGCTATAGTCTAGGTGTATTATTTCATTTTTAAAATGTACATATGGGCTGGGGATGTGGCTCAAGCGGTAGCGCGCTCTCCTGGCATGTGTGCGGCCCGGGTTCGATCCTCAGCACCACATACAAACAAAGATGTTGTGTCTGCAGAAAACTAAAAAATAAATATATTAAAATTCTCTCTCTCTCTCTCTCCCCCTGCCCCCCTTAAAAAAAAAAAAAAAAAAAATTGTATGTGTATAGTGATATATATATATATGTATACATATATATATATATGTATACATATATATATAGTGTATTAAAAATAAATAAAAGTAAAATGTACATGTACCTGCAAATATATGTATTTGGATATACTTTGTCACATTTTTTGTAACAGCAAAAATGTTGGCAGGAATAAAAATGTCTAAGATGAATGGATAAGTGAATTTTAGACTTTTATACAATGGAATACTATACAGCAGTCAAGATGAGTGGGCATGTCTCATCAACTTGAACAACTCCCAATAATTTGATGTTAAGTGAAAAAATAAATTTGCAGAATATTGTATATACAATATCAATATAAGCATATAAGCACAAACAGAAAGGAAGGGGTTAATCACTCTTGAGCACCAACTATGCACCAGGGGGCCTACCTCAGTTAGCCTCTACAGCAACCCTATAAACTAGTTAATAGTATTAGGTGTTTTTCAGAGGTCAGGAAACAGGTTCAGTGGGGTCCCACAGAGCCCAGAAGCAAGCCTAGAGCTGCTGACCCCATAGGCTGGCTCCTCATAGCCCGCCCCTCTCAGGCAGCCCAAGGACCCAGACCTGGGCTTGCTCTGGGCAAGAGGCCCTGTAACTCCAGCCTCTGCTCCCACCCCTGCCCACAGCCTGGGGAAGCCCCAGCTGGGCTGGATTGCCGACAATGCCTCCCATTCAGCCCTGTCACTGCCGCCAGGCCTGCAGGCCAAGGAGGGGGTTCCTGCCAACATCCAGCCAGGGACAGGACTGTTGCTGGCCTTCCCCTTGTGCTGAGCCTCCGGTCTGGGCTGGCAGCTTGAGGCGGAATGGAGGGGTGAGTTTTTGGGCCCCCAGGGTGCAAGGCAGCCTTAGATCGGCTGAGTGGTTGCAGGAAAGTCCCCACTCTTCTCTGGGCCTCTGAGAGTCTGGCAGGCAGGGCCTCTGGGACGTTCCTGGGCCTGAGATTCAACAAGGGTCTCCCAGAGTTGGGTCCTGAGGAACAGTGGAGGGAACGCGGCTGCTCTGGTGCTCCTGGGGCTTGGTCCCTCCGCTGGGAGCAGTCCTGAGCCCTCCACCCTCTGTCGAAGGCCCCTCCCTGAGCCATAGCCTTTGCCACAAGCTCTGGAGAAGACCAGCAGCTCCAAGACGGGGTGGACCCTGGGACTCAAAGGGGACTAAAACAGTGACAGTGAGCAGAGACTGGGGAGGCCTGAAGGGCAGCAGCCTAGGCATCAGGAGAGGCCATCGGGAAACAAACAGAACAGAAAGAAGAGCTGGGCAAGTCAGGCGACGCAGAAGCAAAGAGGGGGCTCTGGGCAAAGCCATTCCCGGTATGGCATGGTGGGGGACCACAAGGAGGAGGGCAGGTTTCAGCTGCAGATCAGGAGTCAGGACTTCCACTAAAGACAGTAGGAAGATCGGGGGTGTTTTCAGCTGTGGGTGTCAGGGCCTCAACAGCATTCTGGAAAATTCCCTTTGGTTGCTGGGTGGTGAGTGGAGAAGAGGAGAAGCCAGAAGAGTCACGGTGGCAGCACTCAGAGCCGGGAAGGGGTCTGACGGCGGGTCGACAGAAGCATGGGTGGACAGAAGGATGGATGGACGGATGAATGGGTGGGCAGATGAGCAGGTACATCTTGCCCAGAGCACAATCCACAACTCACACCCTCGTCTCCCTCCCCCTGATCCAATCCTGGTCAGCTGAGGGCTACCAAGGTGAAGGGAGGACAGAGGGAAATAAACAAGACTCCTGAGCTGCCTGCTTGTGTGGCTCTGACCTGCCATACAAGGGCCACCCCAGGATCAGTCTCAGGCCCTACAACGCCTGGTCCTCCAGTCCTGCTGACACTTGAGCTAGGCCTGGGTCCCCTTGGACTGCCAATCTGTCTTCTCAAGATGGGCGTCATTATGCCACTTGCTCCTGAGGAGCTGGCACCGTGTCTAAGAATGGGCTGCTCACCACAGCCTGGGGGCATACTGTGACCCCCAGACTCCTCCTCATGTTTGGCCTGTTGTCACTGAGCCTGTGGACAGAGAATCAAAAGGGCCCACTGGGTTGACTTTCTGAGCCTTGGTTTCCTCCCATGTAAAACAAAGCCCATAACAGAATCTGCAATGCATGGGGTGAGGAAGAGGCCTAAAGGAGAAAGTCTCTGAGGGGTTCTGGGGCAGAAGCTGCTCAGTGGCTGGGGCTCTGAGATGGACAGTGTTGAGGACTCCACCCCTGTGGACAGCCACTCTCCCCCTGCTTCTCCCAGGCCCCAGAGCTCCACCCATGTCCCCTTGTTGCTGCCGCTGCTTCTGCTGCTGCCACTGGGTCCAGCATGGCAAATAGCTGCCCAACGCTGCCCACAGACCTGCATCTGTGACAATTCCAGGCTGCATGTTGCCTGCCGGCACCAGAACCTTACTGAAGTTCCAAATACCATTCCTGAGGTCAGCAGGGCAGGAAATGGGCACAGGGTGGTTAGTGGGGCAGTGGAAGGAGCCTGGGTTGGGAGAGCTTGGCAAGGTATTTTTCTCGGCACCTCAGTCTTCTGTAAAATGGGAAGACTAGCAACCAATATCAGGGAGCTAATCTATTTTAAATCCTTACTGTGTGACTAGATTAAGTAGGTGGCTCATAGATAAACATCAAATCATTGCCAACCATGTGACAGACCTTGGGGGGTAGCAAGGTGGGATGTAGTCCCTGCCTTATGGTAAAGAGTGAGTGTCAAGACACTGTGAAAGTGTCACAGTGGGATTATCAGTGGCTGGGGAGGAAGGCTTCCTGGAGGAGGGGTCAGGAAGCAGGATGAAGAGAAACGAGGGGAAGGTAAGGGGAGAGGAGTGTCCCCAGCCCTGCCCCTGTGCAGCTCAGCCTTGCTTCCCTCGCTCCCAGCTGACCCAGAGGCTGGACCTCCAGGGCAACATGCTGAAGGTGATCCCTCCAGCTGCCTTCCAAGCCCTGCCTTACCTCACCCATCTGGACCTGCGGCACTGTCAGGTGGAGCTGGTGGCCGAGGGCGCCTTCAGAGGCCTGGGCCGCCTGCTCCTCCTCAACCTGGGCTCCAACCGCCTGAGCTCGCTGCCCCAGGAGGCGCTGGACGGGCTGGGCTCGCTGAGGCGGCTGGAGCTGGAGCGGAACATGCTGGAGGAGCTGCGGCCTGGGACCTTCGGGGCCCTGGGCGCGCTGGCCACGCTGAACCTGGCCCACAACGCCCTGGTCTACCTGCCCGCCATGGCCTTCCAGGGGCTGCTGCGTGCCCGCTGGCTGCAGCTGTCACACAACGCGCTCAGCGTGCTGGCCCCCGAGGCCCTGGCGGGCCTGCCTGCCCTGCGCCGGCTCAGCCTGAACCACAATGAGCTCCAGGCCCTGCCCGGGGCCGCCTTGTCCCAGGCCCAAGGCCTGGCCAGGCTGGAGCTGGGCCACAACCCTCTCACCTACACGGGCGAGGAGGACGGGCTGGCGCTGCCCGGCCTGCGGGAGCTGACGCTGGACCATGGCGCGCTGCAGGCCCTGGGCCCCCGGGCCTTCGCCCACTGCCCGCGCCTGCACACCCTGGACCTCCGAGGGAACCAGCTGGACACGCTGCCCGCGCTGCAGGGCCCGGGCCAGCTGCGCAGGCTGCGGCTGCAGGGCAACCCGCTGTGGTGCGGCTGCCAGGCACGGCCCCTGCTCGAGTGGCTGGCACGGGCGCGCGTGCGCTCGGATGGCGCGTGCAGAGGGCCGCGGCGGCTGCGAGGCGAGGCCCTGGACGCCCTGCGGCCCTCAGACCTGCGCTGCCGGGGAGATGCGGCCGAGGAAGAGGAAGAGGAGCTGGCGGGCACTGCGCCCCGAGCCCCTCCGCTCGCCCCGCAGGAGAAGGACGGGGCGGCCACGCCCTGCCCGCGCGCCTGCGTGTGCGCCGCCGAGTCCCGCCACAGCGGCTGTGAGGGCCGCGGCCTGCAGGCGGTGCCCCGCGGCTTTCCCAATGGCACTCAGCTCCTGGACCTGAGGCGGAACCACTTCCCGTCGGTGCCTCGAGCGGCCTTCCCTGGCCTGGGCCACCTGGTGTCGCTGCACCTGCAGCACTGCGGCATCACAGAGCTGGAAGCCGGCGCCTTGGCGGGGCTGGGCCGCCTGCTCTACCTCTACCTCTCTGACAACCAGCTCTCCGGGCTCAGCGCAGCCGCTCTGGAAGGGGCCCCCCACCTTGGCTACCTGTACCTGGAACGCAACCGCTTCCTGCAGGTGCCCGGGGCCGCCCTGCGCGCCCTGCCCAGCCTCTTCTCCCTGCACCTGCAGGACAACGCTGTGGACCACCTGGCACCTGGGGACCTGGCTGGGGTGCGGGCCCTGCGCTGGCTCTATTTGAGTGGAAACCGCATCACCCAAGTGTCCCCTGGGGCGCTGGGCACAGCTCGGGAGCTGGAGAAGCTTTACCTTGACAGGAACCAGCTGCGGGAGGTGCCCACTGGGGCCTTGGAGGGGCTGCCTGCCCTCCTGGAGCTGCAGCTCTCTGGGAATCCACTCAGGGCCCTGCAAGATGGGAACTTCCGGCCTGTGGGCAGGTCACTGCAGCACCTCTTCCTGAACAGCAGTGACCTGGAGCAGGTGGGCACCTGGTGTGTGACCAGGGAGGCAGCATGGGGCTATATGTGGCACACATTCACCCATCAGACATTTGCCCCCTTCAGTGCCAGGTTTTAGGCTCAGCATGGGGACCTGAGATAAACAGACAATTCACCCAGGTGGGGTTATAAGCCAGGTGGAATTCAGTGCCACAAGCCAGAGGCCTACCCAGGGAGGGCACTGCCAGGGCATGGAGGAGGGGAGGGAGGAATTTGGGTTTATCTAGATTGAGAGTCCATGAGGCTTTCCTTTATGGGAGTTGGGGTTCAAGCTGTAGAAAGAACCATGAATTGGGCAACAGGGTGACCTGGGTTTTGACCAGCACTTGACCTCCCAACCTGCGCCTCCTTGGGCTCCACAACCTCTCCTTTGCTAGGGAGGGTGGAGCTTCCCCCAGCTCAGGGGCAGGACAGGCCTGGCAGGAGCTCACACCAGGGCCTGGCACCTTCTTACAGATTTCTCCTGGAGCCTTCTCAGGCCTGGAGCTGGGGCTCCAGAGCCTGCACCTGCAGAAAAACCAGCTTCGGGCTCTGCCCGCCCTGCCCAATCTCAGGCAACTGGAGCTCATTGATCTCAGCGGCAATCCCTTTCACTGTGACTGCCAGCTTCTTCCGCTGCACAGGTAGGCACCCCACTCTGGACCCCCAGCCAGGGACCCACCAGCTGCTCTCAGTCAAGCCCCCAAGTGTCTCTGGGTACCATGTCAGTAAGGCTGATCAGCTGGCAGGGGCCAGAGTGGGCCCGGCCAGAGCAAGAAAGCATGTGCTCTTCTGGGATTAGGTATTCTCCCTGGGGAGGGCTTGGTGGACTTCTCTGAACCTCATTTCCTTCATCTATAAAGTGGAAATGATATTTGTCCTGCCTAGAGGACTAGGACCTACTCATTGTGTGTATTATCTTATTTAATTTTACATAATTACACAAGGAAGTAACAAGACTCTGGAGGCAGGCAGACCTTGGCTTTGAGATTTTACCAACAAACTCAAGTCATATGACCTGTGTCCACCCGTGAAAAGGGATGAGTATTTTATCTACCTCAACATGACCTCTGTAAGAATTCAGTTAAATTAGTTAGCAGAGCCCTTTGTAATTTACTGTTCTCATTCCGCTTTCATAGAGAAGGGGTCTGAGGCTTGAAGTGACTTTGAGGTCACTGATGGGTGAAGCTCTGAGCCAGGACTCTCAGAGGAGCTGCTGCCCCCAGGCTCACTGCCCAATTCCCCACCACTCACTCTCCTCAGGAAGCTCCTGACTGCACATCAGCACAGTGGGCTCCTCGACCTCTCATCTCTCCTCAGGTGGCTAGCTGGGCTGAACCTGCGGGTGGGGGCCACCTGTGCCACCCCTCCCAGTGCCCGGGGCCAGCGGGTGAAGGCTGCAGCTGCTGTCTTCAGAACCTGCCCAGGCTGGGCTGCCAGGAAGGCTAGGCGGACACCGACCTTCAGGCTTGGGGGCAGGAGGACCCCCATCAAGAGGAGACAGCAAGAAGCAGACAAGGTTGGCCTGGGGCTGGTGGGCCAGGTCCCAGGGCCTCAGGGCCATTAGATAGGGTTGTGTTAGCTCCCTGGGGGCTGCCACAACAAAGTACCAGGAACTGGGTGGCTTAGAATAACAGAAATGTGTCTGTTCTGGAGGCTAGAAGTTGGAAATCAAGGTGTTGGCAGGACCACACTGTCCCTGAAGCCCTGAGTGGAAGGATTGGAAGGATCCTTTCTTGCTTCTTCTAGTTGCTGGTGGCCTGGGACATTCCGTGGCTGACAGTGGCATGATCCCACCAGCTTCCATCTTCACCCTATGTCCTGCCTCTTCTCATCAGCCTCTCTGTGTCTGTCTCTGCAAGTCCCCCTTTAGGAGTACCAGCCACATTGGAGCAGGGCCACCCTAAAAGGACCTCATTTTAATTCCATTACCTCTGTTAAGACCCTATTTCCAAATAAGTTCGGATTCTGAGTTACTAGAGGTTAAAGGCTCCAATGTATCTTTTTGGAGGAAACACAGTGAACCCATAACAGCTTTCCAGGGGCTGGGAGTGAGGAAGGACCCCCAGTGGTGGCTGAGCAAGATCTGCCTTAGAAGCCAGACCCAGAGCTAGTTTAGTGACTTAGCAATGTCAATCTCATGTGGCACCGACCTTCTTCCAGGCACTGTGCTATTCAACAGCATTGGTGCTTCTCCCAGAGTCAGCCCCAGCAGAGGCATGGGAGGGGCTGAGCTGGGCTCAGGAATGCAAGATCTGAAGAGTCCAACTCCAGGGCAGGGCCTCAGCCGAACGGGTCTGATGGCTTCAGCAAGAATCAGGACTTCAGACCATTTGATCCAGTCTTACACGGAAATATTCCTAGGGCTAGCTGAGCAAGGTGGTGCACCCCTGTAATCCCAGTGGCTCAGGAGGCTGAGGCAAGACGACAGTAAGTTCAAGGCCAGCCTCAGCAATTTAGTAAGACCCAGTATCAAAAATAAAAAAAAAGGGCTGGGGATGTGGCTCCGTAGTGAAGCACCAGCTGGGTTAAATCCCCAGTACCAATTCCTAGTGCCAGCGCTGGAGTTCTGGGTTATTTTAACAAATAGCAGTTTCTCCCCAGGATACAAAGGAATTGAAAGCTAAGGGCTCGACCCTGGCAGTGTTCAAGCTGGAGGTGTTCCCTGCTGAGGGCAGGAGGCTGCCGGTCTTTCTCCCTTGAGACCCCAACATTTTGGTGTCTGGCACACAAAAGTGCTTTGACACGTTGATGGACGAGTGCCAGAGTACTGGGGGCAACTGGTGGGCCACACTGGGCTGTCCCTGCTGCTGCCACTTAGCATTGTAGATTTAAGCAACCAATTCACAAAACTTCACCTCAGAGTCACGTCATCGTGCCTCACAGGGTGACCATGAAGGCGAGTAGGCTGATCCTGCCCTTGGTCTTGTGCCTGGCATAGGAGGCTCTAACAAGACATGGTTATTCCCTTGCTGCCCTGCCTTTGAACAGGGTGGTCTTTCCAGGCTAGTCCTGGAAAGGCTGAGAGGTGCAGGGTAGTCCCCTACAGTGCTTGGTCTGATCTCTAGTGGTGGCCACAGGGGGCCGCAGGCAAGGGCAGCAGGGAGTGAGGAGGGTTTGGGGATGCTTCCCAGTCAGCAATCCATTGTTGAGACTCCGCGACCTTCAGTTCCACCCAAGGGCAAGTTGAGGCACATGGTTCATTCTGAGACTTGAGTAAAAATTTCCAGGTTGACACTTCCACCTGTGACAAGTCAGACAGACCCACAGCACCAGGAATGTGGGTCACACTCCTGGAGCCCAACTTTGTACCAGGCCTGAGCGAGGCACTAGGGACAGATAAGATCCAGGCTCCCTTTGGGGAACTTGTGGCCTTTGGGGAGGGGAACAGCAGAAATGTAGGGACACATCAGTATGTGGTTGTTATGGAGACGGGGCACTCGGCAGTGATGATAGATGACACTTACTCCCTGGCGGAGAAGTGTGAGCCAGTCCAGGGCCAAGTGACAGCCCAGCATGTCCTGCGGCTCTGCCCTCATCATGGAACTTCTAGGACACAGCTTCTTCATTCAGGAACTAAAGGTCAAATGGCATATAAGCCACTTGTCAGAAGCTCTTGGGTCAGAATAATGCCTAACTGCTAAGGATCCTGAGGAGATGAATTCTCTTCAGCTGGACTCCTGAGGGACAGCAGAGCCAAAGTGCACCCTGGGACACTCTTCCTCCCAATATCCTCCCGAGGGGCTGCTGTCACTGGCATGTCACCACCTGAGTCCTGGAGCTGGTGTGTGCTGAGGGCAGGAATGGCCATTCTGAGCAGAGACCTGCCTGGTCTCTAGGCAGCCCAGTGGTCTTCCATTCTTAATCCATTTTCTTCTTGAGGAAATCAGGCTAGCCAACGGGCCACTTTCTGGGCATGTGTTGAACAGGGCTTTATCAAGGGGAAAAGAACCAAGTTCTCTCTGCATCTGTCCAGAAGTGCCCAGCCTGTGATGACTGATGCCTGCCCCATCTCAGGCACAGACCCGTTGTGGGTCCTGAGCCAGCCTAGTCTGCACACCTCAGCAAGCAGCTGACAGACCCGAGTCCAGGCTGCCTGCACAAGAGTCAAGAGCCATGCAGGCCCTGAAGGCAGCTGGACACAGCAGCACAGCTGCAGCCCTGGCAGGACAGAGGGACGCACATGGCACCATCCAACACACAGGTGGGAAGGAAAGGGCTGTTTCTACCCTGGGTTCCAGGATGCTACACGAGAGGCAGGACAGCTCAGTTTTGAGGGAGACTAACTGGGAGAAGCAAAAGCAGCTGGAAACTGGGCAGACACCAGGTGAACCTCTAGAGTGCAGTTTCCGAGGCCACTGGAATCAGGAATTAAAAGGACAATAAGAAAAGCGAGCTGGGAGACACACCCATTATACCTGCCTGTCCCCTACTCCAGGGGGTGCTGTGAAGGACGGGGAAGAGTGTCCTTGAAGGTTCATGGGCAGCAGTACCGGCCATACCCTAGGTCAAGGCCATACCAGACATGGGTTAACAGTGGGGACAAAGAATGAAAATGTCAGGCGGATCCAACCCCAGCTAGAACCCGGGGCAGGCCAGGCACTGTGGGGAGGGGCCCAAGGTAGGAGAGCTGAGCTCCCTGTTGCTGTCCCCAGCAGTAAGCAGCTTGGCCTCCACCCTGTCATCAAGTTGGCCCAGGCCACTGCAAGCCTCCCCCACTTTCCTTTTAGGAAATACGAACCAGAGAAGAGAGGTAAAGGCCATGACAGGTCACCAATGCCCATTATCCTGGTCAGTGCTTCTCAGCTGCCTGCCACTGCACAGTCCCTCCAGTGCCTTCTGCTTGGTTTGATTTTAGGCAGAGCTGCTCCTGTCCCACTTCTGTCAGCCCGGGGACCTTCCCATCAGAGCTGCTTCATAATTTTATTCTTGGGCAAACATACAGGCGGATCACACACTGTCTTGTCCCTCGTCTTCCAGTGTGATGGCAGCAGTGCCCACACCTGTTGGGGGCACAGCAGATTGGGCAGCAAGTGCACCAGCTTCAGAAGCCTGGGGCCACACAGGGAGTCACTCAGACCAGCTTGGGGCCTCAGGCATCCCCAGGCACACAGGCCTCCAGAGGAGGGTGGAGGCAAGAGGCGGGTCCTTCAGCAGGCAGCCTCCACATAAGAGGCAGGACATACACAAAAAAGGCTCAGTCTCCCATCTCAAGTGGGGTGGAAGGGTGGTGGCACAGGAGCCCCAGCCTCCCCTCTGTTCCATGGCCTGGGCTGGCTCAGTCATCAGTCTCTTGCTTGATGTTCTCGAGGGGGACAGGCAGCTCTGGACTAGGAGCCTTGTCAGGAGAAGCCATGTCCAGGTGCTCTTCCTTCACACACACAGCAATGACTAGAGGGAAGCAGAGAATGAGTGTGCAGGCCCAGGAAGGTTGACAAGGGACCTGGCTTCCTGCAGAGGGGGCCCCCAGGAGCCGGGGAGGCCACCTCTACCCTCCTGCTCACTTCCCAGAGGCTGCAGCAGAGAGGCCCAGGGTGCCAAGCACAGCCTGCCTGGACTGGGTGTGCCAGAGATACTGGCATCTGCCAGTCTGCCCCCACCCTGCCAAGTCCATCCAGTGGGCAGAGGTGCAGAGGTAGAGGGCGGGGCACCTGGCTGGACAGAGACTGGGCTTGGCTCAGAGTTGGGGGCGGGCGTTTGGGAAGTTCTACAGGCCCAGTGGTTCAAGGACTGCTTGGTGCCCAGAAAACTCTCTTCAAACTTGACTCTACTCTTCTGTGCCCAGGTGGGAAAGAAGAGGGGCCGCCTCTGAGCACGGAGCAGGCCGGCCCTGCCTTGATCTCGCCCGGCGGCTCTTACTCTCGTCAGGAATGGGCTCCGATGGGACCTTCCCCGCAGCCTGCAGGTCGTCCTCCAGCAGGGGCTTCTTGGACCCCTGTCTAAGGGGCCGAGTCTTGGTCGGCGGGATTCTTTTCCCTTTGAATAAAAATGGAATGAACCCAGCCTTAGGGTCATATCTATATGAGGCTTGCAGGGCTGGGTCTCTCGTCCAGAGGGGAAAGCGCCAGTTCAGGGCAAAGGGCCTGGCCTACAACTGATAGTCCTCCCCACTGGTTGGACGTCCCAAGGTCGGAGAGGTTTGCTCCAGTCGGGGATCACTACCACCTCCTTGGGGCCAAGGCTTGGGGCAGTCCCCGGCGTCAATCCCTCCACTAGTGACCTGCCACATCCCAGCCCTTACCATTCTGAATGGCACAGTGCCTCCTTCTATGCCCCATGTTTTTTCTTTTTCTTTTTGGGCTGCTGGGGATTGAACCCAGGACCTTGGGCATGCTAGGCAAGCACTCCACCAACTGAGCTACCTCCCCAGCCCATGTTTTCTTATTGTGGCACTGGGGACTGGACCCAGTGCCTGGCACATGCCAGGCCTGTGCCCTACTTCTACGCTGCATCCAGCCCTCTTCTTTATCTTACTGTGAGACAGGTGTCACTAAATTGTCAGGCTGGCCTTGAACTTGTGATTCTCCTCCTTCAGCCTCCTGAGCTGCGGGGATTACAGGTGTGCACCAGTGTGCACGGCCCAAATCCCACTTGACATATACCATACCCTCACTCCTGCTCAGTCCTGCCCAGGACTAGTCCCTGTCTCAGCTCGTCCTGTTTAAGCACGTGTTCCTCTCCTTGTGGTGCCATGTTGAGGAAATCTACCACCTATCCCCAGGGCCTGCAGCTCTGAGGATGGCCCAGTCAGGGCTCAGGATCTATTCGGGGTGGGCCTAAAAGCCCGGTGGAGTCTGCCTGCCCACTCAGCAGCCCCCTGTGCTCCCCTCCACCAAGGGGGTCTTGAGAGGGCAACAATCTCAGGACAACGGTATCTATTTCCTCCTCTGCCTTTTTCTAAAGACCTAGCATCTGCAGGTGCCTCGAGGCATGCTGGGTTCCAGCTCTGCGCAGCGGGAATGGAGATGACCTTTCTAAGTACGATCTCTTGTTCTTTTTCCTCAGCGTCCTGACCACTGTCAGAGACTGAATTCCCTATTGATGCTCTGGGAGACACAGGGTGCAAGGCCCCTGGGCTGACAGGCAAGTGAGGACAGGAGGGAACAGGAAGATGGCTGCGCGGGGCGGGTGGCCGCGAGAACAGGCCGGTTTGGGGCTTGCTTACTTTTCTTCCCAAACTGTTTCTTTTTCTTTTTTGTGGCCTCTTTGGCTTTCAAAGGTGTGGCTGGTTCTGTGATTGAAAGAAAGAGATGAGAAGAGAGCACTGGAGGATGCAGGGCACATCCTGAGGCCCCTGGTCCCCTCACACACAGGGCACCCCAAGGACGGCAGCCTCAGCTGGGTAGTGAGAACAGGGTGGGCCTGGGGAGGACCTGGGGAACAGCTGTCCCGGCTTCCCACCCTCGTCTCCAGGGCTGCTCAGGTGTCTGGGTGGTTTACCTGGGTGCACAAGGACCCGAGCCTATGACAGAGTGGGCAAGATGAAGGAAGGAGCTCTGCAGGCCGGAGGGAGGGGGGACAGAGAAGTCAGGAGAGGGGGGAGGCAGGGCTCTCTGTGCAGAGCATCCCCAAGACTTCTCCATCCCATGCCAAGGAGCTGAGCTGGCATGGCAGGGCGGGGCGGGGAGGTGGGCAGGGAGGAAAGAGGAGGAGGAAGAAAGTCAAGAGCCCCTCAGAGTCACGGGAGCCCTGACCTGCAGCCACAGGAGGCTGGAGCTGGTAGCCAGTGAGTTCGCACCAGCCGACGGGGTAGATGTCCGGGGACTCGCAATCCACCCACTGGTCATACTCGTTGTCCCAGCCATCAAAGTGGATGCTGAGGAGCCGGTGAACCACCCGCTTCACGGTGGCCACACAGATGAGCCGGGGCTCCATCAGGTCCACAGCCTCCAGCTTCATGCCCACCTTGAAGCCATGGTTGGGGCAGTCCTGGGGGAAGAAGGCACTTGCCAGGCCAGCCAGCTCGCCACCCCAGCAGGCCTGCCTAAGGTGCAGCAGTGGGCAAGGGGCTGGCACCGAGGCCTGTGGGGGAAGGTACTCTGGACACCCACTCATTGAGCCCTTCCCAGGCACCAGCCCTTCCCCTCTTCTGAGGGGACCAGCTAACAGGCTCAGTGAGTGCCGTGTCACAGTGTGGGACTTCTCTGGACATAGCTGATCTCAGCAGTAGGGCCTCAAGAGAAGAGGCTGGAACTGCTGCCACAGACAGCAGTGGGAGGGCCAGTCCTGAGGCCACCACAGACCCCCTGCTCCATCCCTGGTCTCCTCACCATGTTGAAGAGTCTTGATGGAGCTGCTCTTGACTTGGTCTTCTCCAAGTAGGTGTCCCAGTTGAAAGTCTGTGTCTCATACCCTGGAAGAAAGGGTAGGGGAAGCAGGAAGTAGGAAGTTGGTTAGGGATAAGGGACACACTGTCTGAAGGTTCACTACAACTTGGTCAAGCCCAGCCTGTAGTCTCCACAGCAACTCTTTCTTCCTTCCTTCCTGGGCTGGCACCTGTTCTATGACCACAGTCTTGTTGCACAGGTTGTTCACTGGCCAATGGCACAAGTGGAAGCTCCATTTACCAACCATACACTGGCCATAGGGCTGACTCAGCCCAGGCAGTGTAATGGCTAGCGGTGGCTGCTACCTCCCCCATACTGAGACTCCATGCCCCAGGGCTGACTTGACCAGCAGTCTGGGCCTGTGGCCTCATCCTGCAGGGCCAGTACTTCTTGCTACGCCAGTCTTACCTTTTGGGGGTGTGAGCTCAATGTCATTCTTTTGGCAGAAGTTGGCTGGGAAGATGGCATGGGAAGAGGCATGGTAACAGAACCAGTCCGAGCCATCTGTGGAGGGCCCCCCGTCCACACAGATCATCAGGTAGCCATCCAGGAGAACCTAGGGCGGGCGTGGGGCAGACACACAGCCTGTCATGAGCTGCAGTCTCTCTGAGAAGATGGCTGTAGCAGGGGCCGAGGCAGGTGAGTCTGACCGCATGTGGAGCCCACCTTCCCAAGAATACTGAGCCGCCCTTGCAGAGTGCCCAACGCTCCTGTGACACCCTTGTGTGTCATCAGGCGATTTATTCTAAACAGTTAACACCACACCAACAGGGAACACATCTGTTGTTGCCACTGTTGGTGTGTGAGCTCGGGGCCCAGCATGGCACGGGCGGGACGGAGAGGTCAGCAGCACCCTCCAGCAGGGACAAGGGAGGTGCTGCTCCTAGGCAGTGGCAATAACGGAGGAGGCTAGGAGCCTGGCATGGCCCTTGGTTAGGCCTGCACAAAAGGAGATGGCCAAAGGCAGGAAGGCCCTGGTGAGGTGACAGGGCAGGGCTGGCACCTGAGTCAGGGCCAGGCTCAGGTATTCAATATGCATGTGTTCCTGACACGAAGCAGGCAAGGCTCCACTCACAGAGCCAGACACAGCAGGAGCAGCCAGCGAGAGCACCGCTGTGTACCATCAGCCACGACAGAGGTGGGAGGGTGGCCCAGGCTCACCTTGCAGATGGTCGCCACGCAGATGTTGCCCAGGTTCAGCGGGTCAATGGCCTCCAGCTTCATCCCCTCCTCAAACCAGCCGCCCTCTGTGTAGACAGCTCGTACCTTAAAAGGAATAGGGTGATTGGGGGAAGGTGGGAGGAACAGGCATCGTACAATCTGGGCCTGGAAAGCAGAGGCGGGAAGAGCCAACCCCAGGGAGAAGCCAGGCTCCTGAGACCTGGCGTGGACGGTGGCCAGGGAGGAAGACACCCATGGCTGTGCCTCACCTTCTTGAACAGATAAGGAACGGCATCACAGTAGATTTTCCGGAAGGTAGGATGATGGGCCATGTCACTTCGCCTCTCTTTTGAGCAGACGGAGGGAGTGAGGAAGAGAAAGGAGTTGGAAGGTGGTTCTGGGACCATGCCCACGCCTCCCAGAAACCCCGGCTACTCGGCCTCTGCTCTGGGCTATGTGCCAGCCCTCTAGACTGGAGGGCACAGGCTTAATCAGGAAGCATTAGAAGCTCTGTGGGGACTACACGGCCCTCCAGACCTAGACCCTCATGACATCAGGGCCAGAGCATCTGGGTTCGAATCTTGGTTTTACCACTTACACACTAGGCTGAGTGACCTCAGTCATGTCACTTAGCCTCTCTGGATTCCAGTACCATCCTCTGCAGGGTGGTGATGGTCCTGAGGGGCAGGGCACTCCCAGTCTGGGGTCACGCTGGCCTGGGGCTCTACTGACCTGACATCTTGATGCTATGGCCAACACGCCGTGACCAACCCACTGGATGGATCAGGGGGCTCCACATGTGGCACCAAAAGTCATCGTCACTGTCACCATCCTCATAGAGGAGCCGCAGGCGACCCCCGATTACTGTGTCCACCACAGCCATACGGGTCCGTGACACCTGGGACTTGTCCACAACCTCAAGGCGCATGCCCTGCCGAAAGGGGTACTTCATGCTCTCCACCATCTGCAACGACATCAGGACACAGGTGTGCTGCTGCCTCCTCCGACTGCCCCCCTCTCTCAAGTCAGTGGAGGACAGGGAGGGTGTGGTAGAATCACTCCAGACACGAAGGCAGGGGCGGGGCAGGTGGCCCTCCCTTCCCATAGGTTCACATTTGTCCTGATTCCCTAGAAAAGCATCAAAGACAGGCACACGGCTCTCAGTGGGTGCCCCGCTTCACCTCACCAAACTCAGTAAGTCAAATCAAGAGGCTGGACCCACAAGACCTACTTTAGACCAAGAAAATGGAAGTGATCCAGAGTCGAACAGACTCCAGTGCCAGAGCTGGGCCTGGAACCTGTGTTACTGTGGTCTGCACTGGCCCCCAGGCACCTCACACTCCCCTCTACCTCCTGGCCCTCTGCAGTTCCAAGACTTGTGTCCAGGGGCTGGGGATGTGGCTCAAGTGGTAGCGCGCTCGCCTGGCATGCGTGCGGCCCGGGTTCGATCCTCAGCACCACAGACAAACAAAGATGTGTGTCCGCCAATACTTGAAAAATAAATATTAAAAAAAAAAAAAAGACATGTGTCTCCACATGTCCAAATGCAGCTCTGACTCCAAAGGGCTGTGGTTCTGAAATGCTTCCAGAGCACCTTGGTAGCAATCCATGCCCTCTGTCCCAACAAGGGGACAGTGACCAAGACATCCATGTGCTGCCCTGCAAAGCCAAGTGGTGGGGCATGACTGAGGGGCTTTCCAGCTTCAGGCCACTGCTGGCTCAGGGAGAGGTGGCCCGCCTGGGTTTTGGTGATGACATTATATGAGCGGTGCTATTTCCAAACATGTCAGGAGCACCTTGGAGTCACAAAGAAGCCATGAGGAAGAGTGAACCCAGGATCTTAGCCAGACAGATCTTTCAGGCCCCAAGCTCAAGACCTAGAATACACCCTGACACCAACTGTCCGTCCTCATGGCAGCAGCTCCAGCTCATTTGGGAGGGTGGACAGTGCAGGGGCCTGGGTTGGGCCGCCTGCCAGACACATCCCCTTCCTCTATGGCCACAAGGCAGGGCCCAAACCCAGTGGCACTTGACCCCCTTATTTGTTTAGGACAACACAGTGAATGCTGAGCTCTGCACAGGCAGCAGCGAGCAGCTGCTCAGCACAGAGCTCGGCACAGAGCAGTGACCAGGGAATGTTCTTCTCGAGTGAACAAATGCACAAACCATCGTGCACACCGGCCTTGGCTGATGAGCCTTTATTCTTTCAGAACACTAGCAAGCACTGGCTATGTTACAGGGCTCAAAGGGCCACATCTGGATGGGCACTTCCTCCACAAACACACCCTATCCTGCCTTCCCCAGCCCCAATCTTCTGGAGCGACTGCTGAGTGACAGAGTGCCTCCGGGGGAAAGACCTTGCTCACTGGCTGCACTCTCCATGTCAAGGCACACGCTGCTTCCCCCTCTTCTTGGGGCAGTGGCCTCCTAAGCACTGGTTCCCGAGAAACCTGTCTGGAACTCTGGTCCCCATGAGTGCTCTCATGGTGACTTCCAGTCCTTGCCCAGTCATCTTGCCTCAACCACCTCCTTCGGCTTTAGTGTCCCCTCTTGTTTTTGGTATCAGAGGTTGAACCCAGGGGCACTTAATCACTGAGCCACATCCCCAGCCCTTTTTAATTTTTATTTTGAGACAGGGTCCAATCCCCAAGTTGGTGGGATTACAGGTGTATACAACCATGCCTGGCTTGTGTCCCCTCTTGAGCATACTACAGGATAGGAGGGTATGTGACAGTCAGCCCATGCTTGCCGACTTGTCCACAGGGAACCCTGTCTTTCTACCCAGAATCAACCCCTTTTAACTTAAGCAAAACTGAGGCCACCTTGTGATTCCTAATAGTCTGCATCACACATCATCACCAGCCTTATCCTAAGACAGGTGCTGGCACAGAAAGTGAATGATCACCTCCGATCACCCAGTCTGTCGACTATGGGCACTATGGGACACACAGGAGACAAAGCTTGGTTTTGCTGAAGAAGAACATGGAGCCAGGCATGGTGATGCCTGCTACAACCCCAGCCATCACGAGGGGCCATTGGCAACTAACAGGATCTATCTCAAAATAAAAAGTTAAAATAAAAACAAAACAAGGGGCTGGGGATGTGGCTTAAGCAGTAGCACGCTCGCTGGCATGCACGGGGCGGCGCTGGGTTTGATCCTCAGCACCACATAAAAATAAAATAAAGATGTTGTGTCCACCGAAAACTAAAAGATAAATATTAAAAAATTATCTATCTCTCTCTCTCTCTAAAAAATAAACAAGGGCTGGGGATTGGCTCAGTGCTGCTGAGCCAAACAAAGACTACAGAGAACAAGAAAAGGCACCTGCATGGAAGGTAAGTAGCAGGTAAGTAGTACCTGGTAAATTCAAGTCATTTCTACTTTAAGCAAAGGCAAGTGAGCCAGGGAATGCTTCTCTAGGATGCTCTGAGCCACTCCCTCTCCCAGGGAGACTTTCCACTAGCTAAGGCCCACGGTGGACCACCTCTCCACCAGTGCCTTGGGTGGGACAGGCCCAACCTCCATTCCATCTTTACATTCCACTGTTGCCTTCCACGCCAGACACATCCTGCCTATCAGGACAAAATTCAAAAGCCTGAAGGCTGCTGGATCCTGGCTCTTCCTCTGAGACAGGCCAGTCCAGCCCTGGGAGTCCTTGCAATGTGTTCCCTGTGCCCTGCTGTGAGGCTTACTAGGGCCACATGGGAACAGGAGACCTCAATGCAGCCCAGGCACCTACACAGGAGGAGGCCAGCAGAAAATGGGAGAGTCTTCCCTGCAGACCTTCTGACCCTTTTGATTGGATGCCATGTGCACATGTGACTTAAGTTAAAGAACAAAGTAGTTAAAAAAAAAATTAAATACTACACAGATGATTCTGGGGCACACTCCTATTTCTACATAATTAATTGTGTATATGACTTTCATTTCCTTTGCCAGACCAGGGATTCTTGAATGACAGTGTCTATATTCTTTGTGTTCCCATGGTGCTCTGTATACAAGTACATAATAAAATCTATTATGTGAAAACTCTGGAAAATGCAAATGAGCAAAGGTAAGGATCTGAAAAAGCAAAGGCTAACAAAGCAACACGACTGATGTGGCCAGATCAGGGTCTGGATGGGGAGGTAGGCTGCCACCACCAAGGTAGTGTTGGACTCTGTCCTGCAGAAATGTGGAGCCACCAAAGATCATCCCAGCAAGGGGGTCTCAGAAAAATACTGCACTGAGGGGATGGGGCAGTGTTACTCAGTGGTAGGGCATTTGCCTTGCATGCACAAGGCCTCAGGTTCAATCCCCAACACCGCACCCACACAAGAAAAATTAATTCAATACTGCAATGAATAACAGGAAGGACAGAGCAAAACGGGAAGAGTGGGAGGGAGAGCAGCTAAGAGTCCCAGAGGGCTCCTGTCAGACCTTGATATGGAAATCCACAGGAAGTGTCCTGGAGCCCACCAATCGCTTCATGAGGTAGCCTTTCCAGTCAGTGAACTTGGCATGGATGGCTGTGGAGACACCGGCATAATCCTGGTTACAGCCTGGCAGTATCCTCACCCACCCAGAGATCATCAGAGGGGACTGAACAATTTATTTATGTCACTTCAGGCCAGCAATGACTTTGTCTTACAAAACCAGACTCCACAACATGGCTTGGCCCAGAAGCCAGGAGGACAGGAGGGAAGGAAGCAAGAGGCAAGTGGGTTCTGCTCTAGTCCAAGAGGCTCTGCCTCTACACAGGGCCCTCAGGAACCTGGACAGGGAAAGTTCTCATCAACTCACTCCGGGGAGGCACCAGGATCTTGCTATTGATGGCACACCACCCAATGGGGTGGACATCCACGGTTCCCAGGTTGCACCAGAAGTCATGGCTGGCATCATTTTCAAAGCCTTCATACCGGAGCAACACCCGGTACCCTGAAAGGAAAGGTGAGGGAGGATGGGATGGGAAAGGAACATTCCTAGGCCTTTCTTATTCTCCAGCCTAAGTCAGAATTCCCACTTCCTATTCCAAGAACTCCTTCCAGGCAAATGAAGCCCCTGTTGTCCAAAACAAAACAAATCCAAGCCAATTATTTGGAAATGTTATGGTAGTATGGTGTTGAGACTGATTTTCTATACCCTGACTATCCCCACAATAAAACTACAGTTTCCAAGCTTGCCCAGCGCCATCGTCCCCTCTAAGGCAGGACAATCCCAAGAAGCGGGACAGAGATGCCAGTGGGAGGGTTTTAATTTATAAAGCCCATTTCTGCCTGCACCATTGCCTACCGGCTCGAGATGTCACTCTACAGACATCTCAGGTGCTGCCCTGGCCAGAGGAACACCCACCTGCCGCCTGGATGACAGAGGCGATCCAGTACACCCGGCTGGGGAGTACAGCGTCACTGTTGAGCACCTCCACCTTCATCCCCTTCATCACGTCCTCCCACTGGTCATACAGCGGGACCTGTGTGGCCATAAGAGCATTTAAGGTGGGGAGTGAGCTTCCTGGGCTGGCAGGAGAGAGCCCCTCAGGCCTGAGTCACGTCCTTCTCTACCTCAACTTTTCATGTCGCCGCTGTGTACAGAAAACTAGGCTAGTACTAGTACTCAGAGATGAGCAGGGCGAGCCCACTATCCCTGAAGAGCTGAGCTGGAACAGGGGTGGGAGAATGGGGGCAGGCCAGGGGACAGGTGGAGGTCCAGAGTCACAGACCTAAGTTCTAAACATTACAGGGCCAGCCCCCAGTCGTATCAACCGGGTATAACACATCTTGGCAAGCCTCAGTCTCTTTGTTACCATGTCAGCCTGGACAGTAACACATTTTAGCACTTACTGTGTGCCAGGCACTGTTCTTGGTGCAAACACCAATACCTATCGTCACTCAACTTGGGCAGTAAGTATCATGACCCCTTGTTCACAGAACTGCCTGGCCTCATGCTATCCCTGGCATGTCCTTCTCCTTAGTAGTGGGCTACCTGAGGCTGCCTTCCCAGTACATAAAATGCTTCTCTGCCAATGGTACTTTGATTCTACCTTGAGAAAGCAGAATAATTTTTTCATTCTCAAGCCTGACCTAAGCCAGTCAGGGTGTTCTATCCATCTCCCTGGGCACAGATATTGGTTTGTCACTGAACCAGGAAATAGTTGTGCTGGCCCAGACACACAGGGGCAGGTTTCTACAGAGCATATTGAACCTAGTGTGTTAAATGCAAGTACAATGTAACTCCCCTGCAAGGACAGTGCTGGGAGCCCTAGAGAATCTGGGCAAAGAAGAGGTTGCCCCAGTAAGGAAGATGCAGTCTTCATCAGCAACTCAGAGGAGTAGAGCCAGTTAACCTAGTGGAGAGCCAACTTGTCAACCGTGGTGAGGCACGTCCCAGCATTCAGGAGCAGTTCAGAAAGGAGGGTAGACAGTGGGGTTTTTTCTGGTTAGAGGAGTCCTCAGGACTCAAGACGTCTGGACTTCAGGGAATGGCAGTGAAAGACAAATGAAGACCCTGCTACAGGTGTCCCCCCAGGCCTGCAGGCTATTGTGGGTTACAGTGGCTAGGTATTAAGTTCCTGACCTCAAGCCCTCCCCACCAGGATCTTGCCCTTCTGGTTCCTCAGTGACAGGAGCAAGGGAGTCTTCTGCAGAGGTTGGCCCAGGAGCTATCCCCACCTGCCTCTTGCCACCAAGGGGCCCAGCCAGTATAAAAGCACTATGCTTTCAACAGGAAAAACGCTAAATAGTGGGGAGAAATGGAAGAAGGGCTTCAGAATTGGAAAGGCCCTCAGGGAAGAGCTGGGGGTAGCTCAGTGGTAGAGAGTGCACATGAAGACCTGGATCTCACCCCCAGCACCAGGAAGAAAAAGAAAAAGAAGGGTCCTTAGATATTAACCTAGTGTAAATAAGCAGGTAGGGACCTCAGGGAGGAGGTGCAGCTGAGCGGGGGGTGGGGTGGTGGTGGTGGTGGTGGTGGTGGTGTAGGTGGGAGGGGAACCTTAACAGGTGTTAGCAGGGGGTTTTCTGAGAAGCAGACAGAAAGGCACATGGAGCTATGGCAAGCCAGGGCTTCTCCATGCAGACCTGCCCACTGTTCTCTCGGGAGTGCAGCTGTCCTGTGAGGTGGGAAGCACCAAAGCCAGCCCGTGCCCATCCCTGGCTGTCCCACCCTCCCTCTCAGGGCACTCACGTGTTTAAAGCAGCTGACAGGAGCAGCCTTGTAACTGTGATCCTTCAGGAACTTCCCCCAGTCAAAACCCAAGACCAGAGCTGCAGAGCAGAAAGAGGAAGAGTGGAGGCTGAGGACCCACACAGCCTTGCTAGGGACCTGCACCCTGAGGATCCAGGCAAGGCACAGAAGCAGGGCCCTTTCCTCAGCCAGCAGCCCCTAATAGCTCTGCACCACAGCCCCTCACATATCACTATACCTGCCTCACTAATGGCCATCAGGATAGGGAGGACCAACCTACATGCCCCAGACACTCAGACTTAAGAGCAGATTAACATTCAGAGGGAAATCTCTCCCCTTTTTCCTCCAAACCAAGGGAAATTCAAATGTCCTTGGCTTAACTCCCAGGCCTCCTCCAGCCTCCCAATGGCTACAGATGATGTGAACAGATGGGAGGAGCGCACACTTAGGCCCCTCCACCCTCCTGTCTGTGGAGGGCAACTTCAGTCAGGAACTCAGACCAACACAGCAGAGCTGCTTTGGGCCTGCATACGATTTGCTCAGAAACTGCTACATTCAGAAAAATGAGAAAAAAGACCCTTTCCATTCTACTACCCTCCCTGCTTCACAAGCCCTCTGAAGCAGACCTGGGCCTCCACTGCTCCAAGGAAAGAGAAGCCCTCGGGATAAAAGCAAAAAGAAACAAAGTCAGCTACATCTTGGTTTTTGAGTGATCAAGAGTAGGAGCCCTGATAACCAAAGGGTGTTTGAGGGATTTTCTGAAGTCATTTCCACAACACCCACCCAGGTGGGGTGATACCATCCACAGCAAGCCTGGGACTGGCCACCCTGCAGCAAGCTTTTCCCATCCTCGCTCCTAGGGAAGGCCACCCCACCCTGACCCCCACGCCAGCCTCTGCTGTCTCACCATCTTGTCCTGTTGGTGTCCCGTCTGCTAGCTGTCCTGTCCCTTGGGAGTGGAGGAAGGCTCCGATTTTGGCAGACCAGGCTGCCTTATGAAGGACTTTGGCTTTCTTGGTGGGTGGTTTTCCCTGGAGGGAACAGAAGATGAGTGTCCTGCTCTTGGTCCAGTTACTTCACCTCTTCAGGGCTTCAGTTTCTTTTGTAAAACCCAAGGATGGGCAACAGCTCTTGGCTCAGAGGGTGGGTACAGGGAAGGATTGGGATCACTGGAGCTGCAGGGCAGGGAGGGACATGTGTTCTGCTTCCTCTAGGAACCTCTCCCTCAGCTTTAACTCTCATCTCCCCCCTCCTGGGCTCCTCACGGCCTGCAGGAGAATGGCTACAGAGGGACAAGAAACTCTCTGAAATGGGAGGCAACATTTTACATTTATGTGGTTCTGGAAAGATAGTCTGCAGCCTTAATCAGGTACTCGAAGAGCACAGACCTTAAAGACTGATGTGATCTGTACCTTGTGCCATAATATATATATATATATATATAT